AAGGGAGAAGCCTGGTGGAGAAGGAGGAGGGGCAGAAGCTGGTGGAGAAAGGAGGAAAGGAGAAGGGAGTAAGCTGTGAAGACGGAAAGGGGAGAAGGTAGAAGGTGGTGGATGGAGGAGGAGGGGAGAAGGCTGGTGAAGAAGGAGGAAGGGGAGAAATGGCGGGGAGAAGGGAGCTGGTGGAAGGAGGAGAAGGTAGAAGGGAGAAAGCTTGGTGAGAAGGAGGAAGGGGAGAAGGGAGAAAGGCTGTGAGAAGGAGGCGGGGAAGAAGCTGATGGAGAATGAGGAGGGGTAGTAAGGGAGAAGCTCGTGGAGGAGGAAGGGGAGAGAGGGAGTAAGGTTGATTGAGAAGGAGGAGGGGAGAAGCTGGTGGGAGAAGGAGGAGGGGGAGGTAAGGAGGAGGAAGAAGGGAGTTGGTGGAGGAAGGAGGGGGAGAAAGGGAGAAGCTGGTGAGAGAAGGAGGAAGCGGGAAGAGAGGGAGAAGCTTGGTGGAGAAGGAGGATGGAAGAAGCTGGTGGAGAAGGAGAAGGGAGAAAGGGAGAGAAGGCTGGATGAGGAAGAAGCGGGAGAAGGTAGTAGAGGTTGGTGGAGGAGGTAGGAAGGGGGACGAAAGCTGTGGAGAAGGAGGAAGGGGAGTAAAGGGGAGAAGGTGGTGGAAATAGGTAGGAGGGGTAGAAGCTGGTGGAGAAGGAGGAGGGGAGAAGGGGGAGGAGGGAGCTGGTGGAGGAGGAGGGGGGAGAAGGGAGAAGCTGTGGAGAAGGAGGAGGTGGAGAAGGGAGAGAGGTGGTGGAGGAGTGAGGAAAGGAGGAGGAGGAGAAGCTGTGTGGAGAAAGGAGGAAGGGGATGAGGCGGGAGAAGGGAGCTGGTGATAGAGGAAGGGGGAGTAAGGGAGAAGTGGTGAGAGAGGGGAGGGGAGAAGCTGGTGGAGAAAGGAGGAGGGGAGAAGGGAGAAGCTGGTGGAGAGGAGGCTAGGGGGGTAGAAGGGAGACAGCTGGTGGAGAAGGAGGAGGGAGAGGGGCGAGAGGAGCTGTGATGTAAGGAGGAAGGGGAGAAGGGTAGAAGCTGTGTGAGAAAGGAGGAGGGGAGAAGCTGGTGGAGAAGGAGGAAGGGGGAAGAAGGGAGAAGCTGGTGAGGAAGGAGGAGGGGAGAAGCTGGTGGATGAAGGAAGAAGGGGAGAAGGGAGAAGCTGGTGGAGGGGGAAGGGGAGAAGGGAGAAGGTGGTTGGAGAAGGAGGAGGGGAGAAGGGGAGAAGCTGGTGGAAAGGAGGAGGGCGAAGAAGCGCCTGGTGGAGAAGGCGGATAAAGGGAGAAGGGAGAAGCTGGTGGAGGAGGAAGGGGATGAAGGTAGAAGGTGGTGGATGGAGGAAGAGGGGAGAGCCTAGGTGAAGAAGGAGGAAGGGGAGATGGAGGGGATAGGGAGCTTGGTGGAGAAAGGAGAAGGAGAAGGGAGAAGCTGGTGGATGAAAGGAGGATAGGGAGAAGGGAGAAGGCTGGTGGAGAAGGAGGGCGGGGAGATAGCTGATGGGAGATGAGGAGTGGAGAAGGGAGAAAGCTGGTGCGAGGAGGAAGGGGAAGAAGGGAGAAGGTGGTGGAGAAGGAGAGGGGAGAAGCTGGTGGAGAAGGAGAGGGGGAAGAAGGAGGGAAGAAGGGAGTGGTGGTGAGGAGGAGGGGAGAAGGGAGAAGCTGGTGAGGGGAAGGAGGAAGGGGAGAAAGGAGAAGAAGGCTGGTGGAGAAGGAAGGATCGAGAGAAGGGCTGGTGGAAGAAGGAAGAAGGGGAGGAAGGGAAGAAGGCTGGGTGGAGGAGAAGGGGAAGAAGGATAGAAGGTGGTGAGAGGAGGAAGGAGGGGGAGAAGCTGGTGTGAGAAGGAGGAAGGGGAGAGGGAGAAGGTTGTGGAAAAGGAGGAGGGAGAAGCTGGTGGAGAAGGATGGAGGGGGAGAACGGGGGAAGGGAGCTGGTGAGGGAGGAGGGGGAGAAGGGAGAAGCTGGTGAGAAAGGAGGAGGTGGGAAGGGAAGAAGGTGCTGGAGGAGGAGGAAGGAGGAGGAGGAGAAAGCTGGTGGAAGAAGAGAGAAAGGGGATGAGGGGAGATAGGGAGCTGGTGGAAAGAGGAGGGGGAGCTAGGGAGAAGCCTGGTAGGAGAAGGAGGAGGGGAGAAGGCTGGTGGAGAATGGAGGAGGGGGAGAAGGAGAAGGCTGTGGAGAATGCAAGGAGGAGAGAACAGCCCTGGTGGGAGAAGGAGGAGGGGAAGAAGCTGGTGAAGAAGGAGGAGGGGGAGAGAGCTGGTGGAGAGAGGAGAGGGGATAAGAAGGGGAGAAGGGAGCTGGTGGGAGGAGGGAGGGGAGAGGGAAGACCTGGTGGAAGAAGGAGAGGGGAGAGCTGGGTGGAGAAAAGGAGGAGGGGGAGAAGGGAAAGCTGGTGAGCCAGGAGAGGAAAGAGCTGGTGGAGGAAAGGAGGGGAGAATGGAGACATGGTGAGGAGGAGGGGGAGATAGCTGGTGGAACGAAGGATGGAAGGAAAGGGAGGAAGGGGGGAGAAAGGGAGGGAAAGAGAATGGGGAGGAAGGGGGGAAGGCGGAGAAGGGAGAAGCTGGTGGAGAAGGGAGAAGCTGTGGTAAGGAGGAAGGGGAGAAGGGAGAAGGCGGTGAGGAGGGGAGAAGCGTGGTGGAGTAAGAGGACAGGGAGGATTTCTGCCCTTTCTCCGCTTAGCTCATGCAGCTTTTCTCCCCTGACGCATGCCTTCTCTACCAGCTTCTCATTCTCCCGCCTCCTCCTTTCTGCGCACGCAGGCTTCTCCCCTTCTCCCCTCATACGCCTCCCACAGCAGCATCCCTTCTCCCTGGCCTCCATGCCTCCACGCTACCTTCTGCGCTTTCTCCCTTCCTTGCCTCGCAAGCCAGCTTCTCCATTCTCGCCCTTCATCCTTCTGCACGCACCAGCTTTTCCTTTCCTACGCCGGCTTACCTGGGCTCCACCAGGCTTGCTCGCTTCTCCCTCTGCCTGCCTTCTGCCACCAGCATTTGCTCCTGCTCCTTCTCCACCAGCTTGCATCCCTTCTCCGGCCCTTACCTCCTTCCTCGGCACCAGCTTCTGCCCTTCCTGCCTTCTTCTGCGCCACGGGCAGCTTCTCCTTCTGCCCCCTCCTGCCTTCTCGCACCAGAATTCTCCCCTCCCCCTTCTGCCTACCAGCTTGCTCGCCTTCTCCCCCTCCTTCGGCTGCAGCCAGCTGCCGCTTCTGCTCCGGCTCTTCTCCGCTTCCTGCTTCCTCGGCACCAGCTTTTCCGGCTTCGCTACCTCCACCCCCTGACCTTCTCCCATTCATCCCGCGTCCTCCTCCCAAGCTTCTCCTTCGTCCGACCTTCGCTCCTTCCTCCATAGCTTCTCGCAGAGACTATTACCTCAATTCTTGCACGGAGCTTCTCCCCCTGCCTCTGCCTCTGCCCAGCCAGCTTCTCGGATCTTCTCGCCTTCTCTCCTCTCGCAGCCAGCTTCTCCCGTGCCTCCTTCTCGCCAACCAGGCTTTCTGCCTTCTCCCCCCTGCTGCCTTCTCCCCCAGTTCTCTGGTGCCTCCTCCTTGCTCTCGAGGGCAGCTTCTGCCGGGCTTCTGCTCCCTCTGCCTCCACCAGCTCCCTTCTCCGGGTCGCTTCTGCACTTCCTCGCTTCCTTCTCGCTACCAGCGTTTTCCGCCCTCCTCTTGCTCCACGCACGCTTCTCACTTGCTCCCTTCGTCGCTGCCAGCAAGCTGCTCGCTTCTCCGCTTCCCGTCGCTTCTGCGCTATCAGCTCTCGCCTTCCTGCATTCTTCACTAGCTTCCTCCGCTACTCCACGGCTACTAGTAGCTACTGCTAACTTCGTCCTCGCCGTCCCCCTGCACGCCGGCTCATTACACTGTCCTTCGCTAACCTCTGTACAGAACTTTGGTATCTGAAGCTTGAAGGCAGCAACCTATCGTAACAAAAGAGGAGGCTGTCATTGTCGGGGTTCGGCTACGCATGCGGGGTTGGGGCGCGCGGTGCCGGGACGGCGGTCCTATCGTTAGCTATTTGCGCACATCGTCAGATTTATTCTGCGCAGCGCGGCACGGTACTACCGGACTGGGGAAGATCATTCGGCCGAGGGAATATAGCGCGCATACTAATGCAGGGGCCAGCTTTTTAAGCGGGTCTGGGGTCGCTGGGACTGGCGGCGGGTAAAATGTGAAGGGGGGCAGGCCAGCTTAGCTGAGACTTAGGCATGCCAGGCCACCGGGAAAACTCCCGTGCTTCCGCGATGCGCCAGTTGGCGGGTCGCTGAGTACTAGCACTATAGTTTAGCTCACGATTCCCCCACCCTGGAAAATCCTTCCTGATTTACCACTTCAGCTTGCTGGTGTGATAGTATGAAACTCTACATAGGGCCAATGCAGGCGTTTTATTAGCGGCACGGCAGTCGACGAGTTTTGGAACGCAGTCCTACGACCGCGTTTCCGCGTAACTATGGAGCGTGATGTCTATACGTTGCGGCGGCTTACGTTATCGACTTGTCGAGCCTTGTTGTACTTGTTGTAAAAGCGTTGAGGTGGTTGATATGGTGCTTTTACTGCGTTATGTAAGCTGTAGTTATGTAAGATGGCATCTGCTGAAGCAAGATAATCTGGTACTTGTGGCAGTGGTGAATTCTAGTGACGTAGCATGCTCAGCTGTATGCAGGCAGGCATTCACCCAGTATCAGGGGAAATCTCATACGCGTCTACAGCCTGAATGCGCTCATTAATAAATGATTGCTACTGCTCAGGGCAGCATAAACGACAATTTCAACGGCAATATGTGGCACAACGCTTGAAAAAGGTATACCTCCTAGAGTGCGCAGGGCGGATCTACTAGTGGGGGTGCCGGGGGGTCGCGGAGCCCGCCGCCTTTAATTTCAAGTGGCCCTAAAAAATTAAAAGATAATTTTCTGCAAAATTTTGAATTCCATCTTGCAAGTTAGGCAGTTCTAAGAAGTAGCTAGTATAGACATCCTAAACATGACTGCTGCAGATGCTCTCAGAAAATGCACAGAATGCACGTCAATTAAAAAAAATATTGTAGGAGGTCCCCGCGCCCCTACAGTCATGTAAGTGGCCTTTCGGGTAGCTTTATTAAAAACACCCTGAAATATTTAAGGGCAGGAAAAAGTGCCGCGCTTATTTCCTGCCTGGCATGGACATGCCCTAATTCAAAATCCTGGATCGGCGCCCTGTGGCTCGACTTGAATTTAGATTATGGTAATCTGTATAAACGCTTACTTTAGCACATATGCGAAAAGCACATTTGGCGGGGGGCCCAAACCGTTCTAATGACATGGTCCAAAACTAGGATTGTGCAGTACGCCTTAAAACACGGCCTTTTAGTTTTGGCTAACTTATAGTATTTGCACCAGCTTCTCCCCCTCCTCCTTCTCCACCAGCTTCTCCCCTCCTCCTTCTCCACCAGCTTCTCCCTTCTCCCCCTCTTCCTCCACCAGCTCCCTTCTCCCCTCCTTCTCCCCTTCCTCCTTCTCCACCAGCTTTTCCCCCTCCTCTTCCTCCACCACCTTCTCCCTTCTCCCCTTCCTCCTCCACAAGCTTCTCCCTTCTCCCCTTCCTCCTTCTCCATCAGCTTCTCCCCTTCCTCATTCTTCACTAGCTTCCCCCTACTCCACCTACTAGTACTACTCTAAACTTCCTCCTCCCTCCCCCTCCCCCTCATTACACTGCTCCTTCGCTACCCTGTACCAGAACTTGGTATCTGGAACTTGGAACACAACCTATCGTAACACAAAGAGGAGCTGTCATTGGTCGGGTCGGCACGCATGCGGGGGTGGGGGCGCGGGCGGGACCGGGCGGTCCTATCTTAGCTATTTCGCACTCGTCAGATATTTCGCGCGACACGTACCGGACTGGGGAAATCATTCAGGCCGGGAAATATAGCGCGAAATACTAATCAGGCCACTTTTTAAGCGGGGGTCTGGGGGTCCTGGGACTGGCGGGAAAATTGAGGGGGGGCAGGCCACTTACTGACTTAGCATGCCAGGCCACCGGGAAAACTCCCGGTGCTCCCGATCGCCAGTCTGGCGGGTCCTGAGTACTAGCACTATAGTTTACTCACGGATTCCCCCACCTCTGGGAAATCCTTCCCTGATTTTCACCACTTCAGCTCTGGTGTGATAGATGAACTCTACATAGCCAATGCAGCGTTTATTACCACGCAGTGACGAGTTTGGAACCAGTCTACGACCGCGTTCCCCGTAACTATGGGCGTGATGTCATCGTTGCGGCGCTTACGTTATCGACTTGTCGTACTTGTTGTACTTGTGTAAAACGTTGAGGTGATTGATATGGTGCTTTTACTCGTTATGTAAGCTGTAGTTATGTAAGATGGCATCTGCTGAACAAGATAATACTGGTACTGGTGGCAGTGGTGGATTCAGTGACGTACATGCTCTGGTATCAGCAGCATTCACACAGTATCAGGATCTCATACCGTCTACACCTGATGCGCTCATTAATAACATGATTGCTACTGCTCAGGGCAGCAAAGACAAATTTCAACAGCAATATGTGGCACACATGAAAAAGGTATACTCCAGAGTCCAGGGGCGGATCTACTAGTGGGGGTCCGGGGGGGTCCGGACCCCCCCTTTAATTTCAAAGTGCCCTAAAAAATTAAAAGATAATTTTCTGCAAAAAATTTGGAATTCCATCCTGCAAGTTGCATTCTAGAAGTACTAGTATAGACATCAAAATGACTGCTCAGATGCTCTCAGAAATCACAGAATGCACCAATTAAAAAAAAAATATTGTAGGAGGTCCCCCCCCCCCTAAGTCAGTAAGTGGCCTTCGGGTAGCTTATTAAAACACCTGAAAAATTAAGCAGGAAAAAGTGCCCTTTATTTCCTCCTGCATGGACATCCCCTATTCAAAAATCTTGGATCCGCCCCTGTGCTCGATTGAATTTAGATTATGGTAATCTGTATAAACGCTTACTTTAGCACATATGCGAAAACACATTTGCGGGGCCCCAAACCGTTCAAAACATGGTCCAAAACTAGGATTGTGCAGTTACGCCTTACGGCCTTTTAGTTTTGCTAACTATAGTATTGCTCTTGTTTTCTTACATTATAACACTTAACAAAACTTGTAAAGAGAGTAGAAGCTTATAACACTTAACAGAACTTGTAAAGAAAGTTGAAGCTTCTTATTTTGAATCTAGGCAAGAGAGGTCTATACCAGGCGGATCAAGGATGTGTCTATGCTGGAAACACACGTCATGCAGGCGCATGCTCGAGCAACATCTGCAGAAGAGCGGGTGATAAATAATATGAAAAGCAGTGAACAGGATGTGGCTCTATGTCAGTTTAATAAGAAAATAGGTATGATAGTGATATGAGTAGTGCATGCATGTTATTACATTTAATAGTACAGTAGGGTCAGTTGTCAATGTAACAGGGCTGCCAACTATCACGCATTCGGCGTGAGACTCACGCAATTGAGGCTAATCTCACGCTCTCACTCTGGGTATGCTAATTCTCATGCACACTTATGTAACAACTGGTAACAGCTTACAAACAGAAACGTTTTGAGCCATCCATATATACACATGTACCTAATCCATCTAAAAGCTGAACTACAGTGTATTGCATTACATACATGTGTATGTTTAAAAACTCTCTTAAGTATGCACCAGAATGCACAATTTCAAGCTGAAAAATGCAAAAGCTCCCTGGTGTGGGAGAGGGATGCCCCCATCCCACACTTTCTCCCCGCTCAGTCGCTCTGCACCCTTGCGTAATCTCACTCTCAAATCTAACTCAATGTTGGCAGCCCTGATGTAGGCCCCTACTCTGTTCCTACAGTGGCTACCATATTATCAGGAGTTAATGAGACTCCTCATTTGATTTGTCTTTAATGAGACGATTTTGTCCCCCTGATATTATGGTAGTATATATGCGTGCGTGCGTGCGTAAGTGCGTGCGTGCTTTATAAAAACTCGTATTCACTACTGTGTGCACAAGATTCTAAAGTTGCATCAGTTGCCTCACAGTCAATTAGTTTTCCAATACTACTAGTCCAGCAAGTTAGCCAATTTAATATATGAGGTTAGGTACAGATATAATTTTCGTATTTATTGTAGGTGGATATGGAGCAGGAATAGATGGAAGTCTCTTGAGAAAGTATGACCTTATAGTGGTAGAAGACTTCACACATGAGCAACCTACAGCAGCTATTAGACTTTCATGTAAGCTAGGTTTTCTCTAGATAATCTAGCCTGCTGAGATGCAGTGGAATAGCAACATCATTCTTTTATTATATTGTATGGCATTTCAAATTGTCAATCTGTCACTCTGCCTGTGGGTCTGCCCATCTAGTAGTACTTGTCATGTATTGAGATTTTCCCTGTGCATCTATCCACATTTCTGGCTATAATTGGGTTTACATACTGATAGTCTGATACAGTATTTATATCGACATGTATGCAGCAATTTAATAATACATATGTGAGCCAAGTGGCTAGAGTTATGCTCATTGTGTGTAAACATAAATTGCACATACTTGAACAGCTAGGTAGCACATGAAATCAGTTAATGTGATACATATATGGTGTCAGTGTCATTACACTAACGCTCTAGAGAAATGATTTTGTTCTGACAATTATTTGGTTATTATTAGGGAAGCCATCAGAGCCTATATACATGCAAGGCACAATCGCATGGAATCAGCGATTACAGTGCAAGAAACGGGACAAACTTCCATTTATTGATTCTGACTACACACTCATGTCAGAGTGTGACCTCATAGACCAGAGACTACCGCCCCAGGTTCGTCACTCTTACATATTAATTATTTCTATAATCAACTCATAGCAATGAATCACTATTGTGTTGGAGTTATTCTTTTGATTTTGATGTGTTTGGGACTGTTAGCTTACAACGGCAACGTTTCAGAGAACATAAAAAAGTTACTCAGGATGAGTCATGGAAAATTGTGTTATACTATATATATATATATAATATTTGAAACACCAACGTTTGTATACCTATCTATGCACTTGTTTCAGAAACCGGTGTTTGCACATCACCAACTACCTCCTTCATTGCGAAGAAGTGTTAAACAAAAACATAAAAATCTGACCAAAGAAGGAAGTTCTGCTGTTTTGTATCAGTAAGCATTTACTACTATATCTTGCAATTGAACTTGAACTATAGCTTAATCCTGAATAGTTGAAGTGTAATTTTAGTGTCTGCAATATTCTATAACAAGTACGTTTCAGTCAATGCGAGTTAATTTTTTTTTGCATGTTATGTATTTTATTTGGGTAGAGATCAACCTACTGTGGAGTTCATTCCAACACCCTCCTCTATAACATTTCTTGACTTCGATGAAGGTGTGGTCTATGAGAAGGTTCTAGAGCTAAAAAACGTCACTAAAAGTATGACTCAGTGTCGAGTTATACAGCCCAGGCAGCCTTGCTTCACTGTTGGACCAGGTACACCTGCCAATTAGCATACTAAATGACAATATATTAGGAATGTTGATTTGTATAATTTCTCACAAGGACCTGGTTTCTGTGAATGTGCACAATTAGGTAATGGAACCTGATTTATTTGATGGTGAACTCTTATACTAATAGTTTGTACTAGTTATCCGTGTGTGAAATGTAAGTGCATTTCATTATTCTATCTGTGCTTAATTTTCACTTGATGTATACAGGTCAGTTTCCCTGTGAAGTAGGGTGTGTCGCACCAGGTATGTGCTGCTACTATCCAGTTGTGTTTAGACCTCAGTCGCTTAGTGATTGCTCGGATGTCATTAAGATTTTATGCCAATCTGGAGCAGTTATAACAGTGCCCGTGGAGGCAAGGATTCCACCGGCAGTTTTAGGAAGTAGGTTTATGTAGTAAACATTTACATTTAAATATGTTACATATTCTGATTAGTGTAATAATGAATATTAAGTTCTCATTATACAATTAATAAAGAAAATTGATATTTTTACTATAATAAACCTATTTTATGGTGACCACTCTAAAAGTATTCTCTCTATGGTAGTTATTATTAGTTTTCCATTTTATCTAGATTTGATGGGTTTGTGCTGATTAACTGAGGTGTTTCTATACTTTCATTTTACTGTCTTTTCAGTACCCGAAGTGTTGGAGTGCGGTCAGTGTGTTTTAACAGGAACCAAACTGGTGAAGTTCCCCATGTGCTGTACAGAGGACAGGAGTAAAGTTTTTACGGCCCATTTAGAACATGACACAATTCTACCACACAAAGCCCAGGTTAGGTCTGCAATATAAAAAGAACATTCATCAAAATGAGAATCACTTGCAGTTTCTACATTCTTTTTTACTTTATCCTGTACAATACTTTCTCTATAGTCAAGAATATCTAGCTGGGCATGCTCACTAACATCCAAGTGTTATACGTAGAAATTACTGTTAAATTACTGTGCTTTAGCTTATCTGACATTTAGATGCGGTTGGTAAACTATCGAAGTGTCTATCTATCCGTCTGTCTGTTCATCTAATAATAACAGTGGCACAAGTTCAGACAACATTATTTTGGTTGTCACTGTTTGGCATGGAAGTCCTCATTGGAAAATTCACTGAGGTATTAGTGGATGTTAGTAGTAGCAGTACCAATAGCAGAAACAGGAGTAAACTATCAGCATCAGTTGCTGTAGCACAAGTAGTCTAGGTAGTAGTGTTAGTGTTAGTGTTAGTGGTTGTGTTACTGGAAATGGCAGTAGTAGTTGTAGTGGTAGTGATAGTGGTCGTGGTAGTGGAACTGTTAGATAATATTACTGACAGTTTGTAGGTACAAGATGAGTGCTGTACCTCGGCAGCACTTGCAATCTAATGTTTAATAAAATTCACCTTATTATACATTATTATATGTTTATATAACTATTATATATTTATTTATTCATTTATTTATTTAATTATTCATTAATTAATTTATTTTATTTCAGTTTACTATCACCCCGGCTTCTTTCGAACTTGGTGGTCAAAGAAAGGTTGAGTTGGAAATACTTTTCACTCCAGAGTCAGAAGGATCAAGTCAGTGTTTGCTTGTTATATCTTGTGATAAGGGCAGACAACAGAAGTTTATTGTTAAAGGTATTTTTAAGCTATGTGGTGCATTTGTGCAAATATAAGACTTAAAAATGTGAACTTGGACCATGTCATTGTCAGTTCAGTATGCATAATTAGTACTAGAGTTATATTAAATATGATTAAATCCAGCAATAATAGATGTTTTTCTCATTCACATACAGTCAAAATGTATATAAAGATCTCTATCATTTAATGTAAACTTTACAGATGTGGCAAGCATAGATTGCACAGAATGTTACTGGTTTACAGACATTTAATGGTTTATTCACAGGTGATGGCTGCACCCCCAGTGTGAGTGTCGTCTCTGTTTGGCCAGGCGAGTTAGCCGACCCACGACCGGGTGAACTGGTAAACACGTGGGCTTCCCATATACTGCACTTTCCATCAGTGAATCCCAACATGCATGCAGAGAAAACACTGTCCATCAGAAACAATAGGTATAGATATATGTATAGTGTCATGTTAGTTAGATGTTTTATTGCTTCCCAGGTGTTATGTAGCTAGGAATCTAGATAGAAACGATATGTGATGAACATATATGCTGAAGATTAAAAACTATATACTTTCTAAATGCACCATATTTTTTAATTTTGCTGACGTAATTGCTTCTAATTTCTTGAAGTATTTACTGTAAATAATTTCTGTATGGTTGCTTACAAATTTATTGCTTAGTACTGCAAAAGTACTTACTTGTCTCACATTTCTTACAGTGATATCAACTATACATATGAATGGGAGATAGTTCATTCTCATCTGACACTATCACAACCTGTCACCCTTTGCTGGGAAAACATGGAATCTGAAGATTTATGTGGTGATGTGGATGAAATGTGTCCATTTTCCATTCGAGAGCAACATGGCATGCTAGGTGCACTCGAAACAAAGCAGTTTGTTGTGCAGTTCAAGCCTTCCCAGGTCGGGATGAGCTGTCACCTAGTTTCACTAAGGCTAAAAGATGCTGCAGGGAGAAGTGCTGGCAGTGAAACAAGAGCGCCTGTCTACACTGTGTTCAATGCAGCTGTAAAAGGTGCATGCACACCTTGGAGAGTCATGTTGCAACCATGTACAGTGAACATTCCTGGCAGCATACCATTAGGAAGCACAGTGCAGCAGGAGTTTCAGGTATTTCTGGTTGTGTGCCAGACAAACTTCATGGCAAAAGGTGCATAGTGTCGTGAAAGTAAATTATCTAGTGTTGCTGTATTACCAGAGATATTTTGTGATAGTTCAGTGTCAAGGTTTACTGTTATTGAGGGACAATGCAAGATCAATTAGATAATTATATTTAGAAGTGAGTTTATGATAAGGCAATCTAAATAAATTGTGTTCTTATGTTGGTTTGTTAATGCAGTTGCTGAACATGAGTAATGGAGACACAGATTTCCATTTCCAAACCAGAGAAACTAATGACCTCATAGCTCTCAGTCCTAAGCAGGGTTCACTTGGTAAGTACTATACTGTCTCTTACTTTGGATATGGCAATCTATTGTGCTAAAAGTAGAGGGTGTCATGATATCAGTACTGTCTACATCTGCATTTGTTAGCTCTTATGCGCATAATGTAGAATCATTTGAAATTCTAGAATGAACTACTAAGAGTGATGATTGTGCAAGTCAAGGGATAAAATTATTACGGTGAGATTCTTTGAATTAATACAATATAATGTGTATGTGTATACTGGTACACATATATATTTATTTATTACAATTGCAGCGAGCAGTACATCAGTAACAGTTACCCTCAGTATTACCAGCACACAGCCAGGCAAATTTTCACAGGAGATACATTGCTATGTAGATGGGCTTTCTGAGCCGCTGCTGTTATCTGTGTCTGCTGAATTCAAGGTAAATTGTAATGTTATCAGGAGTGTCATAATATTATAGTCTATATTACAGTTTTATGACACTTCTGATGTTATGTTGTTATTATCAAAAATAGACAATACAGTTTAAGTCATCTGTGTTTTGTTATTATGTGTATTACTATTAGGGGTGCATCATTAATTTTATATTCAGTTTTATTAAAATTGTATTCACCATTTACTGAATTATATAATCTGATTTTTGCCCATTTTACTATGTTAAAGAGGGCCATTTGATGGTACATGTGAATATAAGTAATTTTTTCCTTTTACATTTTCTGGCTAGGGTCCTGAGCTGTTAATTGATGAACCATGCCTGGACTTTGGTTTGATTCGTCTGGGGAGTTCAGTCTCACAGCCCCTTACCTTGAAGAATCCATCATCTCTATCTATCAAGTGGACAATAGCAGAGAGTTCTGAGCATTGCAGGGTCAGTAGTATACTTTCAAGCATTTGATTACAAAATTTGACATTTTAATTTAAAGAAAACTTCTGTTCTGTTGTTGTCATAGCTGAGCTTTTGTTATTTTTCTAAACTACTGTTGTTTCACTGAAAACGACAACAAAATGTTTCATTACTCACATGTAGTGAATATATGAGGAGGAGGAAGCTGCCCGTCGATACGACGATGGCTGTCTGTGTTACATCTAACGATTGCACACGCGTTCGTGGCTCAGAATGCCCATACGACTTGTGTGTTAGTGAATATATATGCTAAACATAACTTGTATAACACTACGCCTTCTACGGGTTTAAATGATACACAACTTGCAGTCTCGATCTTGTGTTAGGGCGTGTCTGAGTTGGAGTTCATACCAAGTTGCGGGCAACTGCAAGCACAAAGCAGCAGTGTGGTGGCTGTGAAGTACACACCTAGCCAGTGTGGGGAGTTGGACACAGTAGTCTTAGCCTCGACTGAATATACCACGCATAGGTGAGATTAAGACCCTGAATATCTGAATTTACGATTCATAATATATATATGTATATGTATATAGATTGATTAATCTAAACTCAGCAAACAATTCAAGCATAGCAGCATGGGGACTGCATATATAGTTATGGGTAGTTGGCAAAATAGAACATAATGTGATGTGCAAAATCACATATAACGAGACAATAGTGTGGTAACGAATGCCTTACTGGATATATCCACATATGCTTACCGAAATACATTCAATCAACCAATGAGCCTCAATCCTTTACTATATGGACAGCAGTACGTAGTTTAGACTCATACTAAAGTGCCCATATAACTTTTTCTGTCACTAATATGAAATTATTATTATATTTTGTACCTCCTGCCTGGGGTATATGTAATATCAGAAAACTTTCAATTGTTTTATTTACTTTAAACTGATGAAATTGTGTCATCAACTCCTTTTCTTGCAGTTGTATTTTTGCCAATGCTGATATTCAGACACCAGACGTGTGCCTTCTGTCCTGTCATCTCAATGCACCAGATTGCTATATTGGTGTGAGAAGCTCCCACAGCATATCACTGTTCAACAAAACTCTACTCACGGCTGGTAACTTTTCATTCGGAATTACCTCATCCAACCATGTCGCAAACCTTTATACATAGTAAACGTAGAACATTGTCATCATTAATCAGATTTTTATAACCTGGGGAAATGCACATCAAACATGTAAAATTACTCTGACATTAAATGGATACTTGTGTGTGTTGCTATCTATTTATGTGTTGCAGATTTTGAGTGGGGCGACATAGCTGGGGAGGACAAGGAGAAAGTGTCTGTTAGCCTGACCCCTAATAAAGGACAGCTTGGTCCCCATGAGACATTGACAGTAAAGGTGTTCTTGGTCCCACATGAGGCAGTAAGTGAGAGCAGAGTACGATCATGCATGTTAATCCATTGTTTTAGTTAACTCGTTGTCATATCAATGCAATTATATGACAACGTGAGAGCAGAGTACGATCATCCATTGTTAGCTCATCTGACATAGTCAGATGCAGCTTGTAGAATCGCATGATCGTCCGTCCGTCCGTCCGTCCGTCCGTCAACAGTTGGGCACAAATCTTAACCGCTCGACGTACGGTCACGATATTCGGGACGTGGGGGGGTAATCCGAAAACGAGTTGGGATGTCGAAGCTGGGGGTCAAAGGTCAAAGGTCAAGAGGTGTAAAATAAGGGGGATCATTCACTCCTTAACTTAAGGTATAGGGAGGAAATGCAGAATTGCGGCACAAATCTAAACGGCTCGACCTAGGCTCGTGATAGTCGGTGTATAGCATCATGGTAGGAAAAGCCATCACTGTGCCGAAATTGGAGGTCACAGGTCAAAGGTCAATGGGCACAGGGCAGATTTTAGACATTTTCTGAGGACATGGTGTGACGGAGCAATTGAAAAACTTTTTTGTTTCAGCGGTGACCTACCATTTTTATGGCTTTATTGAAAGGACCATGAAATGTGCTTTCCACTGACGAGCGAAGAGTAAGTGTCTGATAACCTTTTGACCCTCAAGAGGAGGGATTTAAACATGGATTTGTTGACTGTTAACAAAGGAGTGAACTGCTTTTGCTATTAGAGCCCCCACCCCCCACCCTCCCCCTTCCCCCTCCCCCACCCTCCCCCTACCCTCCATCTGCGATAGTGGGCGTGTCCTAACAATGATGTGTACGCAACTGCGTGTCTGCATATCTGCGCGTAACAAATGTGGTACTACGCACGACTGAAATTTTACGTTTATAATCGTAGCAACAGACCTCAGATGAGCCCAGACGCTTTGCGGCTCTTGTTTTAGTTAACTCGTTGTCATATCAATGCAATTATAATTGAATAACAATAGATTTCGAAATCGTGACTATTTTCTGATTACATATAGTTGACTGTATGGATACGTATATATGCATATATAAATCTGTCAGCACATTATTAATATTTAGTTGATTGCTACTTTTTTTAGGGAGATTTTTGCAACATCTGGATTCCATGCCAAATAGGAGAGCGTGAGCAACCAATCATCTTATCCATATTCTGTCGCTCCCATGGTCTGTCAGCCAGCTTGGATTTGGTGCAGGAAGAAGCTTCTGGCATCCCTATGTCTTGTCATTTTGGGATACCACGTTCCAGTGCTTTGGGGATTCCTAATGCTGTCAACCATGTCAAAATGTGCCAGGCAGCACTTCCTGGTAATATAACTGCAGAGGAACACATCAGCATTGACTTCGGTGGTAGCATTCTGATTGGAGAGCCTGTGACAAGGCAGCTGTGTCTGACGAATGAATCTGCCATACCCACCTCATATTCTGTAATGGTGGAAAACTTGATAGCAACGCTTGTCATGGCACCTTCACGTGCCACTGATAGCAAAGACTCCAGGTACAGAAACATTTCTTTATTCCTATAGTTATATAACTATGGTTACAGCTGGACAGTAAAGACAATTGCAGTGCATAATGTATAACTATTATTACTGCACACATTTCTTGTTATTTTGCCAACCACGTACACCATTGCCATTTGTTTGGGTTTTCTACTAGTGCTACTTAGTGTCAGTATAAATGGCGATATCATGCATTTCCACAGTTCTAAGCTACTGCTAAATAGAAAAGAAACAGCACTAATAAACCAGACTGTGGGACCAACTGTCATTGTACCGGACGCTGGGTGTGGGATTGCTGTGCATCCATCAGCTGGGAGTTTAGCTGCTTATGAGGAGGTGACACTTACAGTCACCCTCTACAGTTCCATGTGGGGCAGTTACACAGATGCGCTTGTCGTGCGGGTGAGTGTAGTCACATTAATGATGTAACGATGCGTATCCGGACAACTACCCACTGGACAATTACCCACCGGACAATTACCCCCCGGACAATTACCCACCAGGACAATTACCCACCCGGACGATTACCCACCAGGACGATTACCCACCAGGACGATTACCCACCAGGACGATTACCCACCAGGA